CGACTCCCCGCCCACCCTTCGGACGGCGGCGCTTGCCTCTGGCGCTCGGGTCCCAGGCCCTCACAGATGGAAGGGGAGGTCTTTGCTGGATGACTCTGTTCCCGGACCTTTCAAGGTCCTTATTCTAGACCCAAAGGGGATTGGTGGCTTTCCTGTATCCCTGGAGGGGTGGAATGCAGGAGTCGCTTTGGTCCCCAGAGACGGTCTGGGGGAGGAGGGTGAATCTGAAGATCAGACTGTGGATATCTGGAGGAGAGTGGCCTCAACAAGCCCTTTAGGATCTGCTAGAAGCACAGCTGCTGTCATTGAGGTTTACTTAACTGAGCTCCTTGAGGACAGGACAAGATCAAGTTCTGGTTTATCCTTCTAATCTCAATGCCTAGATGCAAGGTCGGTTCCTAACAGATGCCCTCATCCCTTAGTTTTTAATTCATTAAATAAATATCGAGTGCCCATTACACTGCAAGGTATGCTGCACGTGAAGGCAGTAGCAAGACAGACAAGTCTGCCCTTAGGACCTTCACGCCACTGGAAGCTCACAGGCTTATTAACTTATTTAACTTCTTACAAATGCTAAGAAGAAGATAAAACGAAGTGATGGGATAGTGACAGGAGAAAGAGGATTCTGGGTGACCAGAGAAGACCTGTTCCATCTGAGTTAATAATGAGAAAGCAGCTATGAGATCTGGGGGAAGAATATTTCAGAGAGCAAAGTGTAAAGGCTCAAAAAAGGAATAAGATTGCCACGTGTGAAGAACAAGGCAGCCATTGTGACTGGAGGGACAGTTGTACCAGGCTAGAACTGTAGATGAGTCTGATCACATAGGGAATTTTACAGTAACTGGTGTGGGGTCTGCTCACTCCATTCTGTACATAGTGGCCAAATTAGCTTAAAGTATCTCTTCCCGATAACTTTTCTGCTCAGAAACCTCTTTAACTTTCCTCAGATGCATTTCAAATGCCCTCAGCATGATATTTAAAGTCCTTCATAATCTAAGTTCCACCTACCTTTTAGTCTTTGTTCATATCCTGGCCAAACTTTTGACTTCAGGCAAATGAATATTCTTCCTAGCTGCTGTATAGACCTTGTATATTTTAATTTCTTTCTCTTTACTTTTAATTTTTTAATCAAAGTAACATGTGCATAACCAAATAGTGTAAAACGTTTTTATTATTTTTTTAGTTGTTGATGGATTTTTATTTTATTCATTAATATGTGGTGCTGAGAATCGAACCCAGTGCCTCACACGTTAGGCAAGTGCTCTACCACTGAGCCACGACCCCAGCCCCAAATAGTGTTAAACTTTTAACAAAGCAGAAGTCTTTTTAATTTTCCTCCTCACTCACCTCCTTTTACCCTCTTAAACTGCTGAAATCACACTTTTTCAATTCAGTGGATATAGTACTTGGTATTGAATTATTTTGACTGAGTAAATGTACACTGCTAACCTGTGTGTCACATGACTTTGTTTCCTTTGACTTTTTGTTTTTAATATTTATTTATGGTATTAATCATTGCTTTGCCTTCCCCCTAGATGACTATGTCTTTTATATATTGTACCTATCACTAATTCTTCCCACATAATCTGTTTCTCAATACACATTTTGTTCACTCAGTCACACTATAAGGCTTCCATCAATTCCATTTTCTCCCCTTGAAGCCTTTCTTTCTTTTGCTGTGGACTGTACTGCTGGCTGTTTTGCCTGTACACAGCTGCCATCCCTGGACTTCTCTGCATCCTCACAATTCCCTTTACCTCTTGTGTTGGACTCCTGTTTTACTGCATTTCAGTAAAGCAATCTTCTGGTAGCTTCCTTTGAAAGGAAGCATGGGAAATAGAAAACTTTTGAGAACTTGCGTATCTAAAAATGATTAAGTTGAAAATAATCTTTCTTCAGAATTTTGAAGGCAAAACTATTTTGACATATTCTCATTGTCTTCTAGTTTCAGTACTGATTTCATTTTCTTCAGGCCTCTTAATTCTTATTTTTATTCTCTCTGGAAACCTTTAGAAGTTCCTTTTTCCCTAGAGTCCTGAAATTTCATTGTGATATGCTTTGGTGAAAATCTTGTTTTGAATTAGGGCCTTGAATTCCAGGGCTAAAGTGATACTCATGATTCAGCCTCCTGGATAGCTGGGGCTGCAGGTGCATTACTGTGACTGATCTTTTTTCATTCACTGTGCTAGGTATTTGGTGGACTCTTTCCATCTAGAAATTTAATAATGAATTCTTGAATTAATAACATTATCACTATCAATCTTTTCTATTCTTTCTGTAACTCCTGTTAGATGTTGGACCTTCTGGATTAACCATTTTTCTTAACCTTTTTTCCTGTAGTACCATTTCATTTTTAAATGATTCCACCTTTTTGCAAAATTTTCTTAACATTATTTATAACCCTTCCAAACATTAGCCATCCATTATATTGGATTTTACTTATCCAATATGTCAATATATCCTTAAACATGTATGTTTTTATTGGATAGGTAAAATATTCACAATTTGAAATCCAAACATATCTAAGGATGGAAATGCAATGAAGTATCTCCCTAGAATTTGGTTCTCTAGTTCTCCAACTCTGAACAGGACACAACTTGTTTATTTTTACAGTTCTAAAACTCTTATTCTCCAGTTCTTCCTTTTAACAGCACTTCCTTTGTAGACACAGTATCTTCCTTGAGTTTTTATAATTGTAGCTTTTCCCTCTCTGAAGTTTCAAAAGTATCCAACTTTGCCATTTTTTTCTTGGTTTCAAAATTTCTATTTGCTGGTCTATTTCTATTTTGGTCCCTTTCATTTTTGAAGCTTTCTCAAATATTTGATGGACCTTGGCTTGAATTCTATTCACACTTAAGGGTGAGATGCTGAAAATCTGACTGGAAGCTCGACATAAATGACCTATTAACTGATGGGTTTTAATGTGGGGTTTTGATAAAACAGGGAGGTTTTTTTTTTTTTTTTTTCTGTCAAGGAAACAACAAAAAAGGTCAGTATTCAGTTTTTTTTTCTTCACGTTCAACCTGATAACTCACCTCCATCCCCACCATGCCTACTACTAAGATCTGAGGCTCTGATGGTTCTCTCCAGTGTCTTGAAATTTCACGGGACTCTTCATTCATTATACAGGGCACTTGGGGGCCCTGTTTGCCTGGAAATTCATGGTCTTCTTAAGAATTTCTCTGATAATTTCCTTCCTATCATTTCTCCAGAAGTTGAGTATCTCATTTCTTGCAAAGAAAATCACCTGGATGAATCCAATGAAGTGAGGATAGGGGTTAAATTTTTCTTATACAGATCTTTATATAACCTCCTTTTTTGGGGTTATGAAGGGCACGATGGCTTGCTTCTTAACAACCATTCCAGCAGGTAGAATCAAACTCATTGTGTTCTGCTAAGTTACCTTTCACTCTTTGATTTTTCAAAATATTGGTGTTTCTTATTCATTGTCATCTCTTTTTCATATCACTGAATCAAGTGCCTTGTTTTCTTGGGGGGAGGATTGGAGATACGGGGGATTGAACTCAGGGGCACTTAGCTGAACCACATCCCCAGACCTAAGTTTTTAAAAATACTTTTTAGACCTTGATGGGCCTTTATTTTGTTCATTTATTTATATGCAGTACTGAGAATTGAACCCAGTGTCTCACATTTGCTAGGCAAGTGCCCTATCACTGAGCTACAGCCCCAGCTCTGCCCCCAGCCCTATTTTGTATTTTATTTAGAGACAGTGTCTCACTGAGTTGCTTAGTGCCTTGTTAAGTTGTTAAGTTGCTTTGAACTTGCAATCCTCCTGCCTCAGCCTACAAAGCTGCTGGGATTACAAGTGGTGCCACTGTGCCTGGCTCAAGTGCCTTTTTAAAATAATTTTTAAAATTTTCAGTATTGCAAGTGAACCCAGGGACTTTTACCACTGAGTTACATCTTCAGCTTTTTAAATTTTTTTTAGACACACTCACAAAGTTTGCCTAAAATGGCCTTGAACTTGTGACCATCCTGTTTTAGCCTCAGAGTAGCTGGGATTACAGGCATGTGCCACTGTGCCTGGAAAAATAATTCCTTTACTAACATTTGAAAGAGATTGTTGGGAGGAAGCAAAAGATATTATTTAATTTTCATTTTGCTTTACTTTGAATGTGCCTTTCTAACCTTTTCTATTTGTTAGGCCAATCTCAGCATCACAAGTTGGTAGTTTTCCCTAAATATCCCAATTAGAAGACATCTCTCCTTTGTAAAAAAGTTTTATAGATCACTTCTGACTTCCATCATCAATCTGGTACAGATCAGAGATACCTTACAGTTACCTGTATTTAAGTGTCTTAGGTCCAGGTAATAACCTTCATATGCTGTCTAGGTACTAGATTCTGTACCTGATAAAGACTGAAACAGAGATTTACTAAGAAAAAAATTAAGTCATTGCTTGGACAGTCTATTTTTTCCTCTTCGGAAATGTCTTTACCCCAAGGAGAGTTCACTATCTTCTTTCTGAGCTTTTTCCTTTCCACTTCACTGAAATGAAGAAAGGCACTCATTTTATCTATGAATTCCATGCCAGGGGGTCCCTTGTTACCAGTGACATT